TGTGAGAGACTGCTTGGGCCTGCATAAGATGGCTGCCCTCAACCTTAGCCTTTGCCTCGGTGGAAAAATCCCACTAGACTACATACGTGACTTTTGGCAGGTCTAGCCCCTGGGCAAACAGGGAATCTTACAGAAAAAATAGCCCTTTGTGCTAACCACAGGGTCACGGGATCTGGAGCAGGAGGCCGGTGGTATTTCCTTGTCCTGCTTGCCCCTAGAGATTGTTAAGTTAAAGATTGCATAGGGTTAACTGTTGATGTATGCCTTCCCACTTACCCCTCCCCACATTTGGTAAAATACTGATTGCTGTATGGTTAAATGCTTGAGTGACTCATGTGATTGGTAGAGGATTTGTTTGAACTGTCCAGTAAGCTTGCTGAACCTTCCCCCTGGGATAACAGTATATAATCGTTTTGCTGAGCCAATAAAGAGCCTTTGATCAGAAACCAGACTTGGGCCGTGTACTCTAACTTCTTAAAGATTTCCTCCACAGACATTCAAGATCGGATCGGCCTCTGATGACCCACGAATAAGAGGCGGCTCTCACCTCCTATTCCCCGCGGGACGGGGTCCCCCCAGAGAGCCGCAGCCTAGACCTGATGTCAGCCGGACAGTGATACAAGAAGAACAGTCCACATTGAATTTTTGCCCTTGTGTTCTCTTGCGTGGTGGTCCACGCTGTAGGGTGTACTTGCTTTCATACTTTTACTCGGCCCAAACTTGCTCTGCAGAGCCTGTTTCTTTTACTACCTTCAATAAAACTTTGCTACCGTTTGTGCTTATCTTGACCAATTCTTCGCTCAGTCAGAAAGAGCCTAGAAACCACCTCTAGAAAGAGACTCCAGCACCCACAGCCTGGTAACGCCCCACCTCTGTTTGACTTATGTTTTCTTTTGTGTGCATTCACAGTTATGTCCCCCTTCACAAAAACAAACATATTGCAAATAGTTTGCAACTTTAAATTATCCTGATAGACCCTAGGCATACATCTTTCCATATAAAAGCATTTAAAGTCTACAACGTTTCGAACAGCTACCAGTATTTGGATATTTTATAATTCCTCAGAGGTCTCTAACAATGAACATCTTGGCTTTCTTTGTGTGTAAATGTGGTAATGAGGATCAAACCCAGGGATTCTGCTACACCCCCAGCCTTTTCTTCTTACTTTGAGATGAATCTCCCTAAGTGGCCAGGCTGGGCTTGAACTTGAGTTTCTCCTGCCTCAGCTTATCACAAATCATAATGACAAATAAGGACAATAAAAATTACACTAAGAACAGTATGAAAATGCCTGCTTTCCATATGCTCAATGTAACAAGAACTGATAGAGTATTAATTCTAATTTTATCACCTAGTTGAGTATTTTTTATTGGCTAGTACTTTTCTCCACTTGACTTGATCTCAGCCAAAAGGCCGAGAAGTGATGGCTAGTACTTCTCTCAAATGCTCATGTCCTTTTTTTGGGTTTCAAATCAGGAGACTACCATTTCACTTGTGCACATTTTTATTTTGGGATTTAACACTCACGTTGAATTTTTTTCTTAGTCTATTGTCTTTCAATTTTGTTTATAGTGACGTTTATTTACTAAGGCAAATGTTGGAATCCAATTGATCTTTTTCATTCATGGTTTTGGAGGAAGCCCTGAAGTGCAGGGCCTTTTTTTCCGGAAAGGGTGGAGGGGGAACTGAAATCAGAATTAGTACTGTATCTGGGATTAACAATGCAACTGGAATTAGTGCTGGGATTGGGATTAGCATGGAAATTGGAATTAGCACTGGAATGGGGATCAATGCTGGAACCGAATTAGTGATGGGACTGGGTCAATAGTGGAATTGGTTCAACCATGGAATCGGGAGTACCGCTGATCAGAATCATTTTGATCACACCTTTCGGAACAAACATTTATTGCATTTTTTTTTGGTCCAAAAAAAAAGTCCTCTAAAAAGTCTTCTTTTATGGCTACCTAGACGGTCTCGACTAATTCAACATGTTAATGTCACTTTCGGCTAAATAAAAATATTAAAGTGTGTCTGCAACCACCTTAGTAACTGGACTGGCCCCACGCAAGTTCTGGATCAGAGAAAGTAAGTACTGTGGGTCAGCTCAGGCACAGAGGTTCAAACGTTCTATCTGAAGATGACAAGTTTTTAGAAGAATACAATTGTTTTGAGAAAACAAGTTACTACTTTATAAAATTCTTTTCTTACGGAGCCAAAAGCTGATAGAGTCATAAAAGATAATCCTTCAGTTTATCAAATTATTTACTGTAAATTTGTATTCAATGGCACGTTCCCTTATGTTTGCAACAGACTGTCTCAAGATTACATGGCTGTAAAGCTTTCCAAGCGTACACCTAATACATAAACAGGAGCAATGCCTGAGCAGGAGGAAGGTGGAAGGGGAAGAAGAGGAGGGGAAAACAAGAAGCGGGAGAGGAGGAAGTAGGACGCGAAAAGACGAAGGCACCGGCGAGAAAGTGACTTGTGGACAACTTCTAGCCATTTCAGAGCATCTTGACCATGCTGTAAGGGACCCAGGTGACCCTGACTGCATGAAGAGAAAAGCGGATACGAGTAAAGGCGTCCTACCATTTGTACTTCGGGATCGCCTTGCTCGTCGACTTTTCTTTCTTCCTCCTGAATGAAGACAGACCCTCTCTCTCGTGGTTTAGAGTCTGCCTGGTCCTCCGGGCCGTCTGCGTCCGCTGTGCTCTCAGCTTCACCCTTGCAGAGCTGGGATCCTGCAGACAAGGGCCGCGGGGTCGGGGAAGGGGACTGGGCGGGAGCCGAGGGCAGCGGGGTGACGTGGTCATAGTGAGTGTGCAGGAGGCGCAGCGCGATGTCACTCGTCGCTAATATCCTTGGAATTTCAAATCCAGTCTTCGTGTTGGAGAACCTCACACTTTTGTACCTGTTGATAGTTCATTTTGACAAAATGGATCAGGTAGCTCTAGGTGGATTTCCAAATGGATACGTAAGCAATATTTTCCTCCGTTTTAACACCACTCCAGTTTTGAGTCCCAAACGTACTGTGCTGGTTTGCAGTTTCGGGACCCCGTGGCTGGTGTTAATTTAATCCTCAAAGCTCTTGGATCTGTAACCCCACACTCTTCTGCGCCTTCTGTCTCCTTCACGTGGCCTCTTCCTAACCTCCCCTTAATCCTGACGGAACCCAGCGCTCCTTTCACCTTCTCTGCTCTCCAACCCCTGCACACTCTGTATGTCATCGTGTCTGTAGCCTCAATTGCTGCCCACATCATCAGTGGCACCTAACGTGAGTTTTATTTTTCCTGGGGAAGGACAGGAGGGAGCGCTATCTATACGTGTGAATATACATAATTATTGGATGTTCACAAGAATCGGACTTATAAAAACTTAAGAACCTTGGCTCACTGCTGATGACTTCCAAATTCGGCCAGTTGTACCTCAACTCAAGGCTGGCAATGGATTTAGTTCCCTACAATACCCGCCTGCCCCATCATCAAAATAAAACCAAGCCAGGGGATTTAGCTCAGTGGTTCTGCCGCCTGCTTTGCAAGCGCAAGGTCCCGAGTTCAATCCCTGGTACCAAAAAAGAAAAGAACACTTTTCCAGCCTCTACCATTCCAATTCAATAAAAGACACCACCTAGTTCTCCTCTTAGCTTGGACAGTGTAGAACTGCTTATTTTTTTCAAAATTTCTTTACAACTATATAGATTAATTGCTTTCACTCTTATATCCAACATATTTTACAACAAAAGGGTTGTTATAGCCTCTGGTTCAACTATAGAATTGCAGTAAATGAACTTGGGATATACTTTGACTTTTTTACTAAATATAAAAAATAAAGTTCGCATTTTGCCTATGTCCTATTCATCTTTTCAGAGCTGGGACCAGAACACCTCAGCCTCCGAACTTTTATTCTGGTAATTGTCCCCTGGAATTCACTGCCATACTACCTCAATTCACTTCAAATGTTTAAGAGCAAGCTGCAATCAAATGACTGGGCATCTGCCATTATGGTTATCCTTCAGAGAGAGGTTTGTCTCTTGAAACCAATGGTAGAAACATCACATAAATCTTTAAGACAATGTAAAAATCAATTATTTTTAATAGCTCATGTAGATACAATTTTTTAAAAAATTCTAGACTGCCATATAGAAGGCCACTTTTACTTTTAGGGGATACAAAGAGGTTAAGGTGGTTGAAGAGAATGGGCGGACCTGCTATTTGTAGTAGATACCACACTGTAACTTTTACATGCATTCATGTTTAATATTCAAACCATTCCTATGAAGTCAATGAATATAATCACTATTTTACTGGTGATATACTGATGCTCAGCAAGGCTAAATAACTACCCTAAAGTAAATGGCAGGTCTGTCATTCGAACCTCAGCTGGCTGACTTACCAACACAGGTTTCCCCATGCACACCATACTGTCATGCAACAGGGCATGCACCTGTGACCCTAACGCCACAGCTACAGGGAAATTGTCACCCACTGGGTACCTTGGGTTCTTCTTGAGGTTTGCCCACACATACAGGGTGACATTTTCATCTTGAATGATTTTTTCCATATTTCCATTGTCCAGATCTGCTAAAGTGCTAGCTTGCTGTCAGAGAGAGAGAGAAAAAAGGAAAACATTATGAAGAGCCAAAAGCCTATAAATGGTACTATATAGGCAAGTTATTTCATCAGTCATGTATTGGGTTCCTTTCATTAACAGAATAACCTGGGTAAAAATAAGTCTCAATCAAAGTGACAGACTTTTAAAAAATGAACTGAAGGATGCAAATGTATTCACTCAATTAAATGTGCCTCTCTTTCTACTCAGCTTGCCTTACGGTGTTTAATGATTAAATTTGCTCCCATAGGGCTGGAGTGAACAGACAGATGGTAGAACTCTTGCGTAGTATGCACACAGCCCTAGGTTTGATCTCCAGCGCTGCTGTACTAGTCTCCTTTCCATTGCTGGAGCAAAATGCCTGACACACAAAACTTAAAGGCAAAAGGGTTTCATTTAGTTCATGGTTTCAGAGATTTCAACCCATGGCCTACTGGCATCTAGTGATAGAGGAAAGATACTCAACTCTTGGCATCTGGGAGTAGCACAGCAGGTTGAAAGATTCAGAGAAAGAAGACAGAGACCAGATATACTTCTGCCCAGACACATCCAGAAATACACTTTACTACTCTCCTAAGTGTCTCTTAGACCAATCAGCTTGACAATCAAGATTAACCATTGTAACCACCGCCACCACCACCATAAAGTCACTTCTATATCCCTAGGTAGAAGGTGTATGTTACTATTACATTAGCTTTTCAATTTTATTGTTTTGTTTTGTTTTTGATAATGGGGATCGAATTTGGGTCCTTGTGCTTGTGAGGCAGTTGGCAGAATCACTGCGCTAAATCCCCAGTCCTTCAATTTTTTTCCCAACCCTTCAATTTTGATATCAGGATGATCACATCAGAATCTTCTTCCCCCTACCATTTTCCCCTTCCTTTTTTGGATTATCACTTTAGAGTCATGGAGTTTTATTTGACATGTTATAGTTTATTATAGTCATTTCTTCTAGTATTCAAATTATTCCAAATTTGGCCAGGGGGACCTCTTTACTACTCTGTGTAGGCTCAATTCATCTGAGCCTCTCTCTGCTTGCTATCTAGTACAATGAGGTAATCCAGCCTCATCTTTTCTCTGTTCTGCTCCAGACTTGGAATCAGCCATTTGATTTATCCCAACTAGTCTGGGCTCCTTCTTTATCCCTCCAATGTGTGGCTCTGGGGATCAAATCCAAGGTTTCTCCCATGCTAGGCAAGTACCACTGAGTGACAACCTGGCTCTTTTTAATGCAGTAAAATCTGGCTCATACTGATCTATTTCTACTTTATGTTACAATATATACATGAAGATCAGAAAAACACTGTTTCTTTTGAATACTACTATTCATATTTCTTTACTCTCTGCCCTACAGTAACACAGCAGTTGTAAATTTACAGTATGAATAATACTGCTAACAGTCAGGTTGGTAAAAGATACTTGGTGTAAGCTTCTTTGTAGCACTTTGAAAAATTAGAAAATCATCCATTCAGGTTATACGAAGGACTATGCTCTAGAACAAAAGAATCAAAGAGACAGGATGGTGAAAATAATGTATGCTAGTAGACTGAATATGGACTGGACATTAGAATTATGGTGTTAATTTTCTTAGGTATAATAATTTACAATAGCCTGGGTCTTGTTAGGGTTGAGATATTCATTGGCAAAATACAACATCAATAACTTTCAAGTAGTTCAAGGAATAAGGATCTAGATAAGGTAATTAAAACATTTAAAATGTATTGATTTTCATATATTAATATTAGTTCAATAAAATTAAGTCAAGATGGGAAGTATATGGATCATGGTATATTCTTTTAATCTCATGTTCAAATAAAGTACTCTTCAAATAAAATGTTAGAAAAAATACTGTACCAGTTAATTTTAACCTTATGTCAAGTGATTTATATGTAGTGACTAATACTGGTCTTGTGAACTTATTTTTATAGTGAACTTAGTAAACCTTGAAAAATATATGAAGAATGACTAGCTACATTAAAAATGCTTTCTTTAAAAATATTAACAGCTACAGTGATAAAAATAATATGGTATTAGCCAAAATCAGTCTTGAGTGTTAATGGAATAGAAAATGCAGAAATAACTCAGAACACACTTAAGCTACTTTACATTTGGCAAAGGGGCCAGACACATTTACTGGAAGAAAGATAGGCTCTTTAATAAATGGTGCTGGGAAAACTGGCTCTCCGCATGCTGAAGATGGAGCCTAGATCTCCTATCATGCACTAAACTAAAATTGAAATGGATCAAAGATCTAAACGTTAAGACAATCCGCTGGAAAACAGAATATGTAAAACTCTTAAAGACGTGGGTGTTGACACAGACTTTACAGACAAAACCCTGATCACACAGGAAATGTTACAAAGGATCAACAAATGGGATCACATCAAATTAAAAACCTTTTACACAGCAAAAGAAACCGCCAAAGAGACAGCCCACAGATTGGGAAAAATTTTTTTGCCAGCTATTCCTTAGACCAGCAGCGCTGAGCCTATGGCACACATATGGCACCGCAGGCTCTTATCATTGAAAGCTCTAAAAAGGATCACCATCCCTGCCTCAGACAGAGGACTAACATCTGGAATGGATCAAGAACTCAAAGAAATCAAATCTTCCAAATTTAAAGACCCAATCCAAAAATGGGCATCTGAAATGGAGAGATTCTTCTACTACATAAATAAAGAACATGAAACATGCTCAAAATTGCTGGCCATCTGACAAGTGCAAATTAAAACACTGAGATCCTATCTCCAGGAAGAATGGTTATCATCAAGACATCAACCAATAATAGATACTGCTGCAGCTGTGAGGGAAAAAGGAATCGTTCTCCACTGCTGATGGGAGTGTAAACTGGTACAACCACCACAGAAGGTAGTGTGGAGATTCCCCAAAAAACTAAAATTAGAGATTCCATTTGACCCAGCTATTCCCCTTCTAGGTATTTCCCAAAAGAGTTAAAATCACACCACAGTTATACATGTATACCCATGTTTATAGCAGCACAATTTATAATAGGTAAATCGTACAAACAATCCATATGCCCATCAACAGATGAATGGATAAAGAAAGTGATATTTACATACAATGCAGTAATACTCTACCATAAAGAAGGATGACTTGAGACATTTTCAGGCAAATGCATGCATCTCAAGACCATAACTTTAAGCAAAATAAATTAGATGCACAAATTTAAGTATCACACTGTTTCTGTTGTGTGAGAAACCCAAAGTGTAAATAAGGAGCAAAAGGGAGGATAGATATTGGGAAGGAGAGCAAACGGAGGGAGTGGAGGGGATTTTTAAAAAAAGAATTGAAGGGAAGAATGCAAACAGAGCTTTGTGTATGGGAGGGAAAGGACTGAAGGGAGGGGAGGGGAATGGAGTAAAAAGAATTAAGGTTTATTATGTATAGGCACAAATTCCCCATGATGACATGGTCATTATGCATGACAAATGTACTATTAAAAATAATTTAATTTAAAAATATTAACAGTTGTTAAATCTGCACCAAATGTACTGTTTTACTAACTTCATAACAATACTGAACTATTCCATTATAAATAATGCAACATTTTAATGCTTATAAAAGGAAATAAGAAAAATATTCCACATACTCTGAGCAGTATTTCCGTGGCTATGTTAAACTTAAGATGAAGGAGCTCCTGAAGCTCTGAAATGGATCCTTCATATTGTGTTATGTTTTTCTCTCTCAAGTCATGAGGTGCAGTCTCCAATAACATTAATTTCAATTTCTCAATTAACTGTAATGTAAAATGACATTTATATCAATTGACAAATAGTCAAAAAAAATGAAAAAAATGGGGTGTTTCACTTTTGAATTGAGGAACATCTTAGTAAAACATGCAAAAATCCTTTTCTGTATTTTGTAACTTCAGATCATAGAGAAATAAAATATTTCCTCCAAAAATTCTTACAGTATTCTTCCCTCTGTGGAACAGAGTTTCTATTAACAAGCTGAGGAGTCACTACTTGTCATTATTTAAGACTATAAAACAATAGGGATGTGTTAGTCCATTTTACGTTGCTAAAGCAGAATACCTGAGGCTGGGTAGTTTATGAAGCAAAGAGGTTTATTTAGCTCATTGTACTGGAGGTTCAGGAGCACAGCACCAGCATCTGCCCAGTGCTGGTACTGGCCTCACAACAGTGGGAATGCATGCCAGGGTGGTGTATGCACAAAAGGGATTCAGAGTCTCCACAAAGTTGGAATAAATATGGACAACCTAGGATCTCATAGGGGGAACTATTGCCAAGTCACAGCATCTATTCATGGATGAAATAAATCTTAAAACCTGTTGACCATATCAAATCAGGCAACACAGAATGAGCTTGACATTTTGCAGTTACATCTTAGAGCATCATGGGTAAGTTAACAGCAGCAGCAATATGAAGCATAAAATTTTTGTGAGTGGAGCAAAAAGCAATAGAGGTTAATAATAAGAACAGGAACAGTGAATTCCTTCTAGTATCTATATCATCTATGTGCATTGACACATGGGCTTCTAGGGTTGTGATCCTAACACATGATTTAAGGAACATATTTGGCTTCTGCCCCTGATTCCAGGACAGAAATTCTAAAATCCCTGATGTGACAGTGGTGAAACAAACTATTCTTTCTAATAAGCTGTATATAACCATACTGGAGTTTAAACTAGTGTGGTAACTCTTGGAGAATGGGGGTCTGGAAACAAGGTAATTACAGGGTTGGAAAATCTCAACCCTACTCCTTAGCCTAGAGGGAGAGGAGGCTGGAGATCAATTTACTAATGGTGCATGACAATCAATTATGCTTACATAATGAGGTTTCCATAAAACCCCCCAAAAGGGAGCTTTTGAATTGGTGAATACACTGAGCTAGTGAGAGGAAGGCAAGGCAAGAGCGGGCATGGCGCCTCCACAGCTCTTCCCACATACCTTGCCCGATGGATTTCTTCATCTAGCTGTTGATTCGTGCCACAATAACATTCTTCCTAATAAGCTGCCAGACCCAAGTAAACATCTGCCTATGTTTTATGAACCATTATAGCAGGTTACCTCATCCGAGGAGGGAGCCGTGGGGAGACTAACTGGTTGCTGGAAGTATAGATGACAACCTGGACTTGTGATGGAAAGGGACAGAGACTTGTGGGACCAAGTCCGTTTCAACTGTGAGATCTGTGCTAACTCTGGGTCATTTCAGCACTGGGTACAGGTCACCTAGTTGGTATCCTATCTGAGGCTGTGGGAAAGCACCCAATATTTGTTGTCAGAAGTACTGCAAAGATTAAAAGTCTCTCTTATTTTTGGAATTTGAGGATTCATATCTTTCAGTCTGGAAAAATTTTCTGTCATTGTCTCTTTGAATATTATCTCCACTATTTGTTTTCTTCTAGTATTCTTCCATGTACTTCTAGTCTTTCTTATTCTATCATACGAGTCTGTTAACTGCTCTTTCACAATTTCCACCTCTGTCTGTGCTGTGTTTTGGTAAATTCTATCAATTCAACTACGGACTCATCTGTGATCAAGAATTCTCAGCCAATACCTTTGTTTCCTGTTTACTAAGGTGCAGATGAACCAAACACATTTTCTTATTTTTTGCTGCAATTACATAAAGAAATAAATGCTTCACATTTGTGTTATGTTGACAAGGTGTCAAGAAATTGTTATAAAATTAAAAATTAAAAAATAAATAAATTTTACCAAGTCTCTATAGTCAAGTATTCAGAAGCAGTAGTGTTACGAATGGAAAAATAATATATTAAATTTTTGTTTTTGGAGTTAATGTAAGATTCTTTGTAATTTAGTTTATGTTACTGGACACTTGAATCCTTACCTGTAGCACTAGTTTGCTCTTTTCAATCACTGTCTCAAAAGTTTCATTTGTTTCCTCTTTCCACAAGCTAATGAAAGTATTCATTTCTTGGGGTACAGAAGGATCAGGGCTCCCATCACACTGAATGTAGTGGTTCCACTGTGGAATACAAATGTGTGAAGCTTCACACAGATGACCTTTCTAAGACTGCATTCTCTTGGGCCAGGGATTTAGCTCAGCAGTTCTGCTGCCTGCCTTGCAAGTGCAAGGTCCTGAGTTCAATCCCTGGGACCAAAAGAAACAACAACAACAACAACAGCAGCAGCAACAACAACAACACTGCATTCTCAGAACTCAGTTTTCCCAATTTAGACAAAAACTTTTGATGACATAAACCAGTAACTTAATATAAGCAAATAGTAACCAATTAAATAAAAATAATCAGACTTTTCCACATAAATTTGCAATCTTCAAGCTTCTGACAAATAAAAGTTCTATTTACTGCATTTTTGTTTTAAAAACATTTGAGTTGGTTTTTGCTTAGTTTTCCTCTAATTATAGAGTTTATCTGCAAAGCCAACATTTGAGCTAATTTCTATATTTAAAATTGTTACTATTTGCTTGTGCCACTGGCATTTTAATAGGAGTCCTTCAATTATTTTATAGTCCATACAAATCTCACATTTGTAATCATTCACTTTTTACTTAAAATTACCATATACTGCAATCTTCTGTCATACTATAAGTTGTATTTAACAATCTAGTGTGGGGCCAGGGATTTAGCTCAGTGGTTCCACTGCCTACCTCACAAGTGCAAGGACCCGAGTTCAATCCCCAGTACCAAAAAAAAAAAAAAAAAA